CGAAGGATCGCCGCTCCGTCTCTCTCGCACTCGCCGGGCATGCCGCAGGGTGCGAGAGAGGCAGAGCGACGAAGGCGCTGTTCGGATTCAGTCCAATCCGAGGGCCGAGGGCCAGACGCGAACGCTCGCCGAACCGCCCCGGCCGCGAGCCCCCGCCGTGGCCGTGACGGTCGCCGGCAACCCGCTCCGCATCAGATTTCGCTTTTTCTTTCCAATTCCGCGCTGTCTTTCTCTCCTCCCTGCCCACGCCTACTTTCATCTTTTTCCCTCCGCCTCTCTAATGCCGATTCCTCCGGCTTTTTTCTCTCTTCGCCGTGACTTATAGCGCGGCCGACCCGGGCGCTGCCGTTTATAAATGGGGGCTGCGTTCGGATTTATCTGTTCGGCCGGATTTATTAATTCATCAGGATCGGCCGGCGGCGCTGCGAACGCTGCTTTCGGACGCGACCAAGACGACAATCTTGCTCCCACGCCATTAGCGATGTCCGCCGTCGCGCCGTGAGCGGAGCATCTGTGATTCCGTGACCTTGCGCCGCGGGTTCGACTCCCGGCCGCGGCCTCACTTTACGAGCCGCGCGCGTGGCGGGACAAAAGCACCGCCTTGCTCGAGTTTGTAAAAGGCGCGGAACTAATCAGGCATTACATGGCGGCCAAAGGGGGCGGCGGGGTGCGGCCATTGGTCACGCTGGGGGTGGCGGCGCCCCGTGTGCGAAGCTGTAGCGCCGAGGGAAAACCACAACATCCCACGTGCTGCCAGCGCCAGCCGCGGGGCGGCCGCCAACGGGAACCTGGGGGAACGGATCGACGGAACCACGATCATGAAAGCGGGCCTTCGCGTGCCTCAGGGGAAAATCCGAGGAAAAAAAACAACTTTTAATTCAGAGTGGTGAATATTTTGGTTACATTCGTGAGTTTCTGTGACACTTTTGGCCATGATATGCCCTTGGCCTGAAGGAATGCTCTTAGCCTGACAAATGTCCGGCAAATATCACGACCAGGAATCATTTTTCCGTGACCGTTGATCCAACCTTCGGCAGGCTATACGCTCTTCTTTACAGACAACGAGGGGCAAACAACTTGAATTTTGGTGTACATTTTCCTTGAAATAACGTGAAATAACGGTGAAATAACGTGAAATAACATTGAAATAACGTTGAATTAACGGTGAAATAACGTAGAAATAACGGTGAAGTAACGTGAAATAACGCGAAATAACGTGAAATGACGCGAAATAACGTTGAAATACCCTTGAAATAACGGCGAAATAACAATAAAATGACGTGAAATAACGTGAATTTGAAATAACGGTGTACAAATTTTGACGAAGTTGTTTGCCCCTCGTAGACAACGAACACGATGAGGCTTGGAAAGTCCTGCTTCAGCGAGTACACTCTGCGAAGTGTTCTGAAAAATAAGGAATTTCTCGAGGTGATCGCACACCCTGGCCACATTGGAGTGACTTCCCCGGCCGCCGTGCCTGCGCGATGGCGACGGCTGTAGCGAGTCTTGACAGCACGGCCCAGGCCGCTGAGCCGGCTCAACTGTCGTGAGCACCCCGCCCCACCCCGCCCCACCCCGCCCGCGCCTCCTGGAGCAAAGGCCAATAAAAATGGAGCCTGCCTTATCTGGGCGGAACATGTTGGCCTGCAGACCTCTGCTCCTCTCCACCCGGCCCGCGCGGAGCGGAGCGCTCTCTGCCGCTCGGCTCAGACCTCTGCCGCTCGCGGCCTCGCCCGTCTCGGCCCCAGACTGTGCTTAAACTATATTTTATACAATGGCCGGGGGAGAAGCAGCGGAGGAAGGCGAGGCGAAGGGAGAATGAACGCAATCCCCGCGAAAAATATGTGAACTTTGGTCATCTGCTGGAATAGAGTTGTTATTATTATGATGAGAGCGAGGCGGGGCGGCGAGAGCGGCCGAGAGGGAGCCATACCATCCGCCGCCCCGCCTCGCCTCTTAAGATAGCCCCCCCCCCTCCAATTCCCCCTCCCCCGAATGGAGGAAGAAGGCGGAAAGAAGAACTAGTCGTGAAGGGCGGACCGAGGAGTGTCTCCGGACCGCGAAGATGCTATTGGGAGTAAAAGAAGAACGACGATTGAGGGGGAGGGGGAGGCAGTGACAAGACGCAGAGTGTTGGGAAAGGGGAGGGGGGGGCCACCGAATCCATGGCGGTGGACAAGTGGTGGTGTTGCACTGGATTAGGAGGGGGCAGCGAGGGAGGCGGTGCTGTCCAGAAGTGATTCCGAGACGATTCCTTTTTTTCCGCGGCTTAGTAAAAAAGAACAAGTTGTGGTGCGTTTTTGTTTTCAATCATTTTGTTTTTGGAAAATTTCATTGGCGGCGAACTTGTTGGAAACTCGGAAGTCCTCTCTATCTTTTTAATAACTTCACGACACATTTTCGACTCCAACCACGGACAGTCCCCAATCATACAAAATTTTCAATGCAATGTTGGACGTCGCCCTGGCTTGAACAATTTCACGAGCTTTGGAACGCCCTTGTCGACAGCCTGGTCTCGTCTCGCCGATGGGGCGGTGCCGTGCGCAAACCCAACGCCTTGCACCGCCCTCCACTCGGGCCAGGCGGATCGCCCACCGCCCGCTCGACCGGGGCCCTACGATCAGTCTAGCCCTTAATGGTAATGGTACTGGGGCGAGGGCCCCTGTGTTCCCCCGCGTAGGCAACGCGGGCACGGCCGTGCGGGCGGGTTGCACCCGCCTGCTCCGCCCGCCTCCCCGATCAGCAAGCTCCCCTTAAAACAAGCCACCTCATTTTTTCAGCCGCTTCTTTCCTGAGAATCCCTTCCTGTTCTTTAGCCGCTGTCTGCCTCGCGGTGTTTAGCAAGACCGCGATGACAACAAGTTACGACGGATCGAGTGATATTAACAAAACACTAAACAGCGGGGACAAAGTGCGGCAGACAGAACAAATGAACTCGCCTCGGCGCGTCGAGCTGGTCCACCTCCAACCCTTCCCCTCCCACTTCCCCCTCCCCCTCCCCCTTCCCCCTCCGACGCTGATTCCTTTCGATCCGTAGCGAGTGATGTTTAAATTAAATGGACTGAGAACGATATGATAAGCTTTGTGTTTGAGTGAGGCTCCTCTTCGTGTCTCTCTCACACGCTCTCTCTCCCCCTTTCTCTCTGTCTCTGCCCGTCTCTCTCTCTCTCTCTCTCTCTCTCTCTCTCTCTCTCTCTCTCTCTCTCTCTCTCTCTCTCTCTCTCTCTCTCTCTCTCTCTCTCTCTCTCTCTCTCTCTCTCTCTCGGCCCGTCGCCTCCCTCTAGTTCGCACTACTGCCGCACTACGCGCCACAGTCGACTGGCTCCACCGCCTGTTATGCAAGGGTGGAAAGTTTGTTTCGTGTTGCGACCATAAATTCCGACTTGCTCCGATTCCAATCTGTGCGGTTTTTGTTCTCCCGGCCGCGAGCTTCAGTGGCTCGGCGCGCCCCAGCGGTAACTCTCTCTCGCTCTTGCGCGGCGTTTTGTCGGGGCGCGAGAGGGACAGAGACTTCGGAGCGCAGTGTCCCCGCGCCGTGCCGCCGGCGTGCGTCCGGATGGCGCTGCGTTGTCATTGAATATGTTGAGCGGCTTTACGGCGGCGTGACCGACCGGGCCGTGACGAGCCGAGCATAGGGGCGGCACGGCCAGACACGGCGAACCGCGTTTGCTTTAATGATCCGCTCTTTGTGTTCGTCGTGGTCAGTACACGGAAAAAAAGACATTGTTGTGGTAATCAACCCGGTTCGATAGACTAAACTCGATAGCTACAATCGAAAAGCTGGTATACGCTCTGCTGAAACGCTGGAAGCCACGGGGTTTGTAGTCGTCTTACAAGTGCCCGGTCGTAGCAAACTGCCCTTGGTAGCATCGTGTTTTTGATTGGAGCATATCGTACTGAGCCATCGGACAGAGTAGATCACCTCTTATTTTTCGTTTAGCAGGTGTAGTTTAAAATGCACATTGGTTAGAAGAAATTGAATAAATGAGAGAGCGGTGAAAAGACAAAACTTTGCTTTATTCTCCTGAAGTGAGCCTCCGGGACCCATCGGCCATCCGTCGTTATAAATCTTTTTCCGAGTCCACAATTTAGCTACGCCAACCCTCACGCTTCGCTCTTTATGTACAATTTGCATTGAACTAATTAAAAAAGGTGACATAAATGAAGACAGTGAGGAAGATGGCGCGTCGTCCAAAACACAGGTGAATTCCATCGCGCGGTTATGCTCAAATGTATTGTTATTAGTATTATTCTAAAGTTGGTAACTATGATAAATTTACGCGATAACATCGACGTTACGTATGAGACTTGGCGCCCTCGTCCAGGCAAGCGCCGAAAATTAAAATTATATCGCAATAGTAATTAAATAATCATATGTACATGACAATAATAACCGATAACAAATTAAAATGAAATAAAATAAGGCAAAACACAACAAGTAATACATAACATTATGAGCTTGCAGTAACTTTTTGTCGAGAATGACTAGATATAGTTTTATATCACAGCTTCATATATTTCTTCTACCACAGTTTTTCAATTAATTTATTCCCGCCTCCGATGGAACGGGTATCCGCACTCCGCTCCCAAGGCGACTTTTCATTTAGCACCTCCACCACCGCAAGCGCCACTGGGCTCCCTCAGTGGAACTTGTTGTAGTAGTTGTTGATGAGGAAGTAGCCGTGCCGCAGGTCGGCCGGCGCGTCCCTCGCAGAGTCCCTCGCAGCCGCGGCCGCCGCCAGGCGGTAGATGTGGCCGTCGGCCAGCGCGCGCCGCTGCGACAGCTGCTGCTGGTTGTGATGCAGCTCCTGTTGTTGTTGCTGCTGCTGCTGTTGCTGCTGTTGCTGCTGTTGCTGCTGTTGTTGTTGTTGCTGCTGCTGCCGTTTTGGCGAGGGCCGAGGTCACTTGGCCGCGCTGCCCGCCATGATGGAGGGCGTGGCGATGGGCATGGCGGCGCCGCGACGCCGCGACGCCGGCGACGTCTTCCCCGCCAGCAGGGCCAGGTCCACCTGCTGCTCCACCTCCTCACTGGCGTCGCCCTCCTTGTCCTGGTGGGCCGTCATGTGCCTGCGAGCAAACAAAGACAAACGGGCGTTACGGCCAGGTCGTGGGTTCAACTCCCCCGCACTCCGCTTTTCTTTTTTTTCGTCGCTGCTCTTTCTCCCCCAAGTGTGGTTATGAATTGTCCACCCGCCAGACTCGGCGCCGCGGTCTTCCCCCTAGTAATCGCATCGCTGTGGCACCCCAGGCCCGACCCTTGGCTCGGCGTTTTTTATTTCGATTTTTTTTTATCGCGGCGATGCGATGGAAAGGGCCTTGATTGGGCAGGGCCTAGCCGCTGCCCAGCAGGCTGATTCCGAACGGCGCGTTCGTCGCACTGTCTCTCTCGCACTCATGGGACGTCCCGCAGGGGTGCGAGAGGGACGCCGCGAAAAACGCGATGTTCAGAGGCAGCCTGCAGAAGGGCCTCGGGGTCGACGGGGACGGGCCCCGTGGGGCTCGAGGGGAGGCGTCGATATCAGGAAGTTAGCAGCGGCCTCGCTTATCATTTAGAGAATCTGTGAAATCGGACACTGGGGAACTGGGCAGCCCGATGGTTTTGATGAATCACAGGACTTTACTTTATGATGCTTCCTACCGAAATCCCGTAGCGGTTTTAAATCGGGCTGCTGAGGGGTGGCGGGGTTCATTTTCGTAATTGCCAGGCTCCTTACCTAGTGAGGTGGTGACGCTCCCGGAAGCTCTCCGCGCACACGGGGCACTTGAGCTTGTCCTGCTCGCGTCGCCGCCGCCCGGGGTCGTTGACGGCGTGGTCGCTCTTGTGGTGCGCGCGCATGTGGTACACCAGGTCCGACGTCATCCTGAAGCTGACGTTGCACTTGGCGCACACGTTCTGCGCGGGCAGCGACAGCGCGGCGAACGTGGGCGGCATCAGGGAGGCGGACACGGCGGCGGCCAGGGCGGTGTTGGCGCTGGGGGCGGCCGAGGGCGGCGCGGGGCCGAAGGGGTAGGCGGCGGCAGCGGCGGCCGCCAGGTTGGTGTAGGCGGCCAGCGAGTCCTGGTACAGCATGGACGACGGCCCCACGGGGCCCACGGGGCCCACGCCGCCATGGCCGTGTGCGCCCACGGGCGGCATGGCGTTGATGGGCGACGCCGAGGGCCGCAGCCGCTGGAAGCCCGCCATCAGCTCCGTGCCCGGCTTGCCGTAGAACGGGAAGGGCGCGCCGCCGTTGGCCGAGGGCGGCGAGTAGCGCCGAGCCTTGCCCTGCTTGTCCTGCGCGGGGTGCGCGGGCGGCGAGGACGGCGGCGGCGCGGGGGCGGGCTGTGGCACGTAGAAGGGCGGCGCGCCGTAGGGGTGGCCTGGGCCGCCTCCGGGGGCGGGCTGCTGGCCGGGCGGGTACGCCACCCCGTACAGCGGGGAGCCGGCCCCGGGCACCGCCCCCAGCGAGGTGGGCGTGGGCGTGGAGGCGGCCGAGGACGCGGGCCGGGGGCCTGGCGAGGGGCTGAGGCTGTTCTGGTACGCGGGGGACAGCCCGCCCGCCGAGACGGACGAGACGGACGACGGCGACGTCGGCAGGGGAGGGTTCTGCATGAGCAGCAGCCCCGGGCCGGAGAGCGGCCCGGACAGCGGGCCCAGCGAGGACGACGAGGACACTTTGGTGAAGGCGGAGCGCGCCTGGTCGTCGTGGAGGCCGTGGCCCATGACCATCAGGCTGGGCGGGTGCTGCTGCAGGATGCGGTGCTGCTGGTGCTCGGCGGGCTGCGGCGGCGTGATGGCCACGTTCAAGGGCGTCATCGCCGACCTCATCATGAGCGAGGCCGTGGTCACGAGGCGCAGCTGCTGCTCCTGCTCCTGGTGGCGCTTCTTGATGGTGCTCAGGTCGTCGGGGGCCATCAGGAAAGCCACGTCGAAACTCCTCTTGATGGACATCTTGTTGGACGTCTGGTGCGGCGGCGGCGGGGACTTGTTGTTATTGTTGTTGTTGTGGAGGATGGGCAGGGACGGCGACGAGGCGGGGCTGCGGCTCGGCGACCCGGTGCGCCCGGACGAGGCGGACGCCTCCGAGGACACCGGCGACGACGTGGTGGTCTTGGTGCTGGCCGAGGCCGCCTCGACCCGCAGACCGCCGCGGTGCTGCACGTGCATGTCCATGGTCATCCTGGCAGACATGGAGAACGTCAGCGCCAACAGATTCGACGACACGCACTTTCTATGAACATCAGTTTCATTTGGTTGAACAACTAGTCACATAAAGCGACAGTGATACGAATTTAATTTAGAGAAAAGTAAACAGGAGATTACAGTTTACTCAAGGCATAAAGGCCAATTATGCGTGCCTTTAAAAACGAAAAACCTAGAGATAACGACCACGTAAGGGCACCAAGGACTTCCCCCCGGGACTCACCTCAAGACGAGTCAGTGGTTGACAGTGACAAGGGTTGAGGCGACGGTTCACGCTCCGGAGATGCGCAAGCAATCCATGTCACTGGGCGAATCGTAATCCAAAGGTCGCACAGAGTCACTCAAGCGTCGGCACTGCACTGCACCACACTCGCCGCGGCGCTCGACACGACGGCGGCGGCGTTCGCGGAGGCTCGGCGGCGTGGCGCGCTGGCGCGGGCACGTCCTGTCTGGTCGGCGTCGCGCTGCGGACTGGCGAGGCGGGGTGGCCGCGGCGTCCTATATCCCCTCCGGCTGGCGGCGGGCGACGCTCTGCGGCGCTCCTACTGGCTGGCGGCGTGTACCGCCACCAGCTGGAACCGCCCCCCACCAGAGGGTGGCGCGGCTCGGGGCGGCCAGGGCCCTCGCCGTGCTGCCGCGCTGCCGCCCTGCCCGCGGCCAGCGTGCTGGCGTGGCCGCGCTAGCAGACGACAGCGCGAGCAGAAGGCAGAGGGGTGGGCGCGCAGGGCGCAGCCAATGGGCGTGGCCCGCGGCCCGGGGGGCGTGGCCAGCGCGCGGCGAGGGCGGCGCCGACGGTGGCGTCTCGTCTCGCGGCGCCGCGACGCTGGAGACCCGCAGCCACACTTCCGGCTCGCCGTCTGCTCGGCTGCCCCCCGTCGAGGCCGTCGGCATGTAGAGGGGCGAGGCCAAGAGGCGCGGCGGCGCTGACGGCGGCCAGAGGTTCCGCACCGTCTTCGTATGGCCAGGCGACCGGGTCCTTGAGGGCGGCGGGGGGCTCATGGTGGGGCGGGGGCCGAGGGCCGCCGAGGGCCGCCGAGGGCCGCCGAGGGCCGCCGAGGGCGGACAGGGGCCATGAATTCATTGGCGCGTCTCATGCCAAGACGGCCCAAAGTCCTGGCCGTGCGCGCCGCGCGCTCGCCGGCCCGGACCCGGGCACCCCACCCGTACCACGACACGGACTGCCTCAGCAGCCCTCTCGCACTAAGCTGCTATCAGGGCGCCTCAAGCGGGAAAGGAGGACAGTTGAACCACCTTGGCCCCTGAAATTGGCGCCTGGAAGGCAAAAGCCACACTTTGACCCGTTCCCGTAAGGAGGCAAAAAGGACGACTTCGACCCCCACAAAGGGCCTGCCCTGGATCCGCCACGCAGGGAGATCCAAGGCAAGACGTGCGCTGCTTGTTGTCGCAGGGAAGTGGTCGCGAGAGGGATCGTGTTTACCCGCCACCAAGAAGACGGCCGCCACGGTCTCCCACGCTGCAGCAGAGTCATTTCAACAGTCGTTTCAGTCGCTCCATCTTTCTCCCACCTTTACGGGACGCCTCATGAGTGCGAGAGAGACAGAGCGACGAAAACGACTCTCGGCATCAGTCTGCAGGCCGGGGCGGCCGACGGCCACATGGCACCCTCGTCGCCGTCCTCGCCGTCCTCGGGGACCGCCGCGGCTAAACCGCATCATATGGCGGCCCGCACTTGTCGCGTGTCGCCCGCCATAACCCTTTAGGCCTTCCACTGCGGGGAGCAGCGTTCCATGTTGTGCTTCGATTCGCACCGAGTGGCCTGAGAACGCGCTGCTCGGTCGTCTTGCAGTGGACACGCTCCTTCTGGGGGGAATGTTTTGTCGGCCGCGACGCTGGGAAACTGACACATCGTTGAAGCGCAAACTTTTCGACCGTCCAAGCACTAGACAACTCCTCTCAAAGACTTCTAGGTACGGTGCTGGACCGCATTTGTGGTCGTGGGACTCGGACCCCTGAGTCCTACCCGCGGGTCAGGGCTGCCTGGTGCAGACTGCCCTCGCGAGGCAAGACAAGCCAGGTGCGGAGCCAGGAAATTTGTTAAGGCCGTGGTGGTAGAGTTGCACTTTCTGTCATCTCTTGTGTCGGGCCTAAGTTCTTTATTTTTAAGAACCGTCCAGGTAGCCTACAAAGAAGAGAGAGGAGAGGGAGGGGGGTCGAGAGCCACCCCACCCCATCCCAGGATCCGTACCGCACCAGCACTGTGGGAAAAAATCACAGGAAATCCTGTAGTGATTAGTACAGCTGGCACTGTAGTTCAGAGTACAGGATTTACTGTACTTTTTTTACAGGATCTACTGTACTTTGTACGGACTTTACTGTACCACAGGAGTGAAGTACGGAATATCCTGTACCTGGTACAGTAAGTACTGTAGCCAGGCACAGTAAATCCTGTGTTCTGAGCTACAGTAAATCCCGGCAAAAAAATTAACGGGATTCACTGTGGTTTTTTCGTACAGTGTGGTTCCTCTGCAGAGATGCAAGAGAGACATAGCGGCGACACGCTCTTCGAAAGACCACAGGCAGCCAACTTGACAAAGAACCCTTCGCGGGGACAAGTTCCGAGCAATCAGCGCTCCGTTCCAAATCCAGCGGGGAATCGCGCCTCGCCGACTCCACGCGCCGCGCTCTTTGCTCACTTTGGCAGCGAAACGACAACAACAACTATTCCGGAGCGGCAACTCCCAGGTGGGGACACACAACAGCATAGTTGGAACGGGGCCCCGCGGGGTTTCCTGGAACCGGGAAGGGGGGAGGGAGAGAGAGAGAGAGAGAGAGAGAGAGAGAGAGAGAGAGAGAGAGAGAGAGAGGCGCCACGATCAGTCACTCAATCAGGCTGCGTGGCGCGGCGAGGGACGGGACGACGGGACAGCATCGGGGCGCCGGAGCGGAACTAACTTCTTTTCCCGCACAATCACCTCTCCCGTCCGTCCAGCAGCCTTGCAGCAGCCCTCCGCCTGGAGGACTGGGTGTGCTCCGCGACCCACCCTCCGCAAATCTGTGCGAATCTGGAGCCGCCAAGTGGACCACCAAGCACTACTTGCCCCGGTTGGCCTTCATCGCGAGGCACCGTTAATGAGGGGCGGCCGAATTTCGCCAAATTTGCAGTGGAATGACGCGACACAGAGTGTTTCGTGTGTGTGACCATTGATCTGTATTAATTTTTTAAAGAAGTACCCAGTAGGCGTCTATTCACCACAGTCTGGCAAAATGTCCCTAAAAGCCTGTTCTGAATCGGCGTCTCGTGAAGCGTGTGCAAGTCAGCCCAACGAAACAGGTTAACATACTCTCCAAGAGATGTCCGTTGGCCGAAAAACCGGTGTGTTAAGTCAGTTTGTATCGGCGTCCCGTAAGCCTATGGGTAAGCCAGCGCAACGAACCAGGTTCGCACACTCCCCAAGAGGTGTCCGTTGACCACAGTCTCGAGAAACGTCCCGAAAAGCCTGTGTGTTGAGTCAGTGTCCCGCCCGAAAAGTCTGTGTGTAAGCCAGCCCAACGAACCAGGTTAACATTCTCCCCAAGGGGATGGTTTGGGGGTCGTATTTATGAACAAATCCATCATTTTAGTAACTTTTCGTCACACGAAGTAGCCTCACAGTATGCTCAGAATCCTGTTGGTTAACTTGGCTCCGTGTGCATTTCGCAACCACTGAAGTCGTTTCTTTTTTTTTTCATTCGTTTTTTTTGCGATACGTCCTGGTCGTGTCAACCCTTTGGGCGTGATTGGGTCGATTTGCTCCGTCAAAGGGCAGTCAAAGGGCGGGCAATGCATGCAGGGCACGGGGCGGCATCGCGCGGGCATCGCCAAGGCGTCGCCAAAGCATCGCAGAGGGCGGAGGCGAGGATCCGGATGCTCTCATCGGCACGTTAAAAGGAAGGGACGAACCCGCTGGAACATTCACTGTTAAAAATAAATTGGAAAATCCCGGAAAGCACACTCCCAACTTCCATCGTCAATTTACAACGGCTCCGGGTTTGTTTTAGGTTCTATTCTTTTCTACTTTACCTACTAAAACTCTTAACGTAAAAAAAAATATAAAGTTTTAGAATTTCCTGAAGATGAGAAGCCACTTTTTCACTGCAAGTTCTCCACGAATTTTCAAGTTTTTTTCAAACACGGTGTTTTACTTTAAACAAAGTTTTGTTTTGCTACCTGTTGTTCGAAAACCACCGTCACGTTCGTGCATCTCAACCTGAAAGAGAATAGGCTCCCTTAAAAACAGCGTGGCACTGCTGCTGCTGCTGCTGCAATGCAACTACTTCGAGAGGAGTTCAGCGTTCCGTAGGATTCACCTCGATCCTGCCACACTTCGAGTCCGATGTCATCAACTACGGTGTGGGGCGAGGGCCGGGGAAAGGGTTGGAGGCGATAGCTCGGGATTACCAGAGAGGGGCAGTCCGTGGACAGACTGGAGAAGAAACTGATCGGCCCTTGGGCGGGAATCTGCTGGGATTTGGGGTAGTTTTCCGCAAGTTGGAGTCGTGGCGAGGCAGTGGCTGCCGAGTCCGGAGCGCCCCCCTTCCCTCCATTACTCGACTCTCTTTGGGGAGATGCCCAAGCCTGAACACGAACCCCGGAAAAAAACTTTTGGTCCGTGCGGTGGCGGTGGCTTCTGTGGTGAATTAGCCACGATCAAATGTAAGCATATTAATATTCCAGTTTTACAGATATTTTGTGGAATAGATGGCGAATTATCTCCTAAGGCTCAACTTCAGGCCTCGATCGAACTCGCTAAGTAAATTCCTGATGAGCCCACACGGAAAATAGACGTCTATAGATTAAGCTAGACCGTCTAGATGTGGTCTTCAAAAGTCTATCTACGTCTATAGACAAATTTAGACAATCTATAGATGATCTTTAGTGTCTATAGACATCTATGGACTGAAGTAGACGGTCTATAAATGATCTAACGCGCCTCTAATCCGTCTATGTCTAACTATAGATGCAACTGTAGACGTCT